AAACAGTCACACTCCAAACTCCACTATGGCCAAGACCAAAGAGCTGTCAAAGGACACCAGAAACAAAATTGTAGACCTGCACCAGGCTGGGAAGACTGAATCTGCAATAGGTAAGCAGCTTGGTTTGAAGAAATCAACTGTGGGAGCAATTATTAGGAAATGGAAGACATACAAGACCACTGATAATCTCCCTCGATCTGGGGCTCCACGCAAGATCTCACCCCGTGGGGTCAAAATGATCACAAGAACGGTGAGCAAAAATCCCAGAACCACACGGGGGGACCTAGTGAATGACCTGCAGAGAGCTGGGACCAAAGTAACAAAGCCTACCATCAGTAACACACTACGCCGCCAGGGACTCAAATCCTGCAGTGCAAAACGTGTCCCCCTGCTTAAGCCAGTACATGTTCAGGCCCGTCTGAAGTTTGCTAGAGTGCATTTGGATGATCCAGAAGAGGATTGGGAGAATGTCATATGGTCAGATGAAACCAAAATAGAACTCTTTGGTAAAAACTCAACTCGTCGTGTTTGGAGGACAAAGAATGCTGAGTTGAATCCAAAGAACACCATACCTACTGTGAAGCATGGGGGTGGAAACATCATGCTTTGGGGCTGTTTTTCTGCAAAGGGACCAGGACGACTGATCCGTGTAAAGGAAAGAATGAATGGGGCCATGTATCGTGAGATTTTGAGTGAAAACCTCCTTCCATCAGCAAGGGCATTGAAGATGAAACGTGGCTGGGTCTTTCAGCATGACAATGATCCCAAACACACCGCCCGGGCAACGAAGGAGTGGCTTCGTAAGAAGCATTTCAAGGTCCTGGAGTGGCCTAGCCAGTCTCCAGATCTCAACCCCATAGAAAATATTTGGAGGGAGTTGAAAGTCCGTGTTGCCCAGCGACAGCCCCAAAACATCACTGCCAAAATATCAGCAACAGTGTGTGAAAACCTTGTGAAGACTTACAGAAAACGTTTGACCTGTGTCATTGCCAACAAAGGGTATATAACAAAGTATTGAGAAACTTTTGTTATTGACCAAATACTTATTTCCCCCCATAATTTGCAAATAAATTCATTAAAAATCCTACAATGTGATTTTCTGGATTTCTTTTCTCATTTTGTCTGTCATAGTTGACGTGTACCTATGATGAACATTACAGGCCTCTCTCATCTTTTTAAGTGGGAGAACTTGCACAATTGGTGGCTGACTGAATACTTTTTCCCCCACTGTACCAATATGGCTAGCGGAGTATGGGTGAGTGGGTGTGTCGCAAGGAAAGTAGTGGGCGTGTGGAAAGGGGTGGGTGCGTCTTGGAAAGGGGTTAGTGCGTCGAAAGGAAAGAAGTGGATTTGTGGAAAGGAGTGGATTTATGGAAAGGAAAGAAGTGGATGTGTGGAAAGGAGTGGGTTTGTCGAAAGCGCCTTCTTTTTTGTTGTTGTTGAGCGGGGTGTTTTTTTCCCTTCTGTTTCTTACCACGCAACTAATATACGTTGAGCTACAGTACCACGAGAGTTTAGACTTCTGTTTTTAAGCCAGAGGATACGTTTGAGTCATATTTCACTGTTAGTTTTACCCAAATAATTGTAAATTTTCAGTTAAACTGACGATTGTTTATTTTTGATTAAAAGTATTTATGATGGGTGTGCTGTTGCTTCATGCGTTGTATGCATGTGCTTACTGTGACTGTCATCCTGATATTGGCTACTACGTAGCTACTTCCCACGCCGTTGACGGACAGTAGTGCTTGTCAAGCGAAAGTGAAGGACACTGTGTCCCAGGGTTGCCATTCATGCCCTCCCCATTGAGTAGAAGAATATCTAGGCTACGCATCAAGGTGCGATCTAGATGGTTATCAATATTATACTGAAGAAAAATATAAACACAACATGCAACACTTTCAAAGATTTTACTGAGTTACAGTTCATATAAGGAAATCAGTCAATTGAAATGAATTCATTAGTCCCTAATCTATGGATTTCACATGACTGGGAATACAGATATGCATCTGTTGGTCACAAATACCTTTTAAAAAAAGGTAGGGGCGTGAATCAGAAAACCATTCAGTGTCACGTGTGACCACCATTTGCCTCATATAGCGCGACAAATCTCATTTGCATAGAGTTGATCAGGCTGTTGATAGTGGCCTGTGGAATGTTGTCCTACTCCTTTTCAATTGCTGTGCGAAGTTGCTGGATATTGGCAGGAACTGGTGTTGTTGGATATATACGTCGATTCAGAGAATCCCAAACATGCTCAATAGGTGACATGTCTGGCGAGTATGCAGGCCATGGAAGAACTGGGACATTTTCAGCTTCCAGGAAGTGTGTATAGATCCTTGTGACATGGGGCTGTGCATTATCATGCTGAAACATGAGGTGATGATGGCGGATGAATGGCACGAAAATTGGCCTCTGGATCTCGTCACTGTATCTCTGTGCATTCAAATTGCCATCGATAAAATGCAATTGCGTTCATTGTCCGTACCTTATGCCTGTCCATACCATAACCCCACCGCCACCATGGGGCACTTTGTTCACAGCGTTGACATCAGCAAACCGCTCGCCCACAGGATGCCATACACGCTGTCTGCCATATGCCCGGTACAGTTGACACTGGCATTAAGCCGGGAAAAGCACACTTCTCCAGCGTGCCGGTGGCCATCAAAAGTGAGCATTTGCCCACTGAAGTCGGTTATGACGCCGAACTGCAGTCAGGTCAAGACCCTTGTGAGGACGACGAGCACGCAGATGAGCTTCCCTGAGATGGTTTCTGGTGCAGAAATTCTTTGGTTGTGCAAACCCACGGTCTCATCAGCTGTCCGGGTGGCTGGTCTCAGATGATCCCGCAGTTGAAGAAGCCGCAGATGAAGAAGCCGGATGTGGAAGTCCTGGGCTGGCGTGGTTCCACGTGGACTGCGGTTGTGAGGCCCGTTGGACGTACTGCCAAATTCTCTAAAACAACATTATGGTAGAGAAATTAACATTACATTCTCTGGCAACAGCTCTGGTGGACATTTCTGCAGTCAGCATGCCAATTGCACGCTCCCTCAAAACTGATGATCTGGACGAGATCGCCGAATCGAGGCAAAGGTAAGACGCTCTGGATTAACTATCTAATTAACTATCAAGTTTGAAATTGACACAATACCTGTTAACAAAGGTATCAGATAGAGATGACGTGCAGGAGCTTGCAGGAATTTGTAGTCTTGCATGATGTCTACTTTGATGTGAATTAGCATTTTTGAATCTGAGAGTAAATAGGGCCGAATATATTGATAAAAGTCACGTTGTCTGGGAGAGATTTACATGGCTATCAAAATGTCACGCCAGGGTAAGCATACACAAAACATTATTTTAAGTGTTTCTAAAATTCCCTATGGGAAAAATGTATGCTGGAAAAATAATTGAAACCATTTCCCTGTTTGACCACTAGGTTTTATGGGTATTATGACACCTCCACTGTGGGGCTCTATTGGGCTGCAGCTACCATACTTACTTTCCAGAGCTCCGCCTTGAAGATCACTGACGTCATGATTTGACCTCATTTTTTTCAGAGTTGCCAGTTGTCTTGAAACCTAATATTCCACAAATGACTTCGTATCAACATTTTAGCTTTTATAATAAACTCATGTATTTACAGTGTTACATATGACTTTATAGGGCACAACATGTGCTTCAAAAGTAGCTAGAATTCATATAGGCCCAATAGAGTACCACAGTATGAGTCATAATACCCATAAAACCTAGCGGTGAAACAAGGAAGTGGTTGCAATCATTTTTCCACCATTCATTTTTCCCATAGGGGATTTTACAAACACTTAAAATAAGAGCTGTGTTTCGTGTAGGCTTACCCTGGCGTGACATTTTGGTAGCCATCTAAATCTCTCTAGGACAAGGTGACTCCCTGTTCGACCGTTAGGTTTTATGGGTATTATGACACCTCCACTGTGGGGCTCTATATACAGTAGGCTGTATCTCAATCCATAAAAAAAAAATCTTATTTTCTGGTGCTCCTAAATGGCATGTGTTACTCCTACATTTTTAAAGTTGGGAGCACCAGTGGAGGGGTCATGAAATGCATCAGGCTACACAGCTGCTACTTGGTAAACGTGAGCTAGACCACCTCTTGGGCTAATAAGGAGATAACCCAGAGCAGGAGGGTGACACATAGGAGCTCCTCTCTATAGGATACACATACTGCATGGATCTCATGTGGATGGGAGACTGTCTTCCCCAGACCATTGATGCAGGTAGGTAACAGTGGCCTAATAATACAGGAGACTTCATGTCACAGGAAGGAATAAGAACACATCCTTAGTTGAGATGAATGCTGTTGTTGATGTGTAGGGAATGACAATACCCACAAATAAACTCTTTGTACAGTATGTTATGTATTGGATTGGCACGTTATAGATATAGAACAAGCACACATTATTTCATGCATTCATGCTCTTTATTCATCATGTGGACACTGGACATTCCAAGTCCAGAACTTTAGTAGTAATAGAATCCATTGATTGCACCAGCCTGGTCTCATAGACTAGACATAACATGTAAACGTAAATCCGAGACACTCAAATAAGTATGATATGGTATGTTTGGTATGGTTACATAAGAAAGAAGGTTAATTACGGCAAAAACGAAAGGAGGGTGGTGGGTCAGGGTGGATAGGTGGGCGTATAATGCAAACTTAAAGCAACCCAAAGGTTGCGTCTTCGGATCTCATCACGGACAACTTTAGCATTTTAGCTAATTAGCCATTTTGAAACTACTTACTACTTTTTGCAACTACTTAGCATGTTAGCTAACCCTTTCCCTAACCCTTTAACCTAACTCCTAACCTTAACCCTAACCTTAACCCCTAGTTTAGTTAACGTTAGCCACCTAGTTAACGTTAGGGTTAGCTACATCAAATCGGAATTCGTGACATATACTTATTGCAAATTCGTAACATATTGCACAAAACATATCACATTATTATTCATAACATATCATAACAAATGGATGATGGACATCCACAAATAAATAAATTCCATACGACACGTAACATATCATACTTAATGGAGGGAGACAGATTTACGTTTATTATGTTCCAGCTACCCCTGAGTCCAGGTTGATTGCACACACTATAACTTAGACAGCAGATCATCTTCAGTTAACTACAGCAGAAGCTTCATCTGTAAGACAAAAAACAATACACAGGTTGGTGAGGACACAGACAGTATGTTATTTTCAGTAAAGTTTCGAGAGTAAAGAGAATAGGTCCGGTATTCAGGCGAAGGCGTGTTATAGAGCAGAGCACTATTACATTTACATTTACGTCATTTAGCAGACGCTCTTATCCAGAGCGACTTACAAATTGTAAACAGACTTTTAAAGGTAATTTACGTCTGAGCCGACATGCACAGCGTTTCCCATGAATGCAATCTCTGAACGTCATGGAAAATGCCTTTAAAAGGCAAATTGTCACCTGTATAGTGCTCTGCCCTATAACACGCTTAGGATTAAATCCCGGCCTATATCTGTCAGTCAGGGCTAACCCACCTCTCTTTTACTCCAGTGAGTCAGTATTGACAGAGTGGCGTATGGACTCCTTCAGCTGGAAAACAGTAAAGAAATGTGACAAAATGTCATATTATCAACACAAAAATGTAAAGCAATACACAGTCGATACATTTCTGTATCCTCTGTATTTTGGTCCAGTAAACCTGAAACTACATTTTGATATGTGGTTGTGTATGTACCAGGGGTAAAAGGTCCCTTACTCTCTGGATGAAACCCACAATGTCCAGTTTGTCTGGCTTGGTGCCTGTAGAACCATGTTTTAGCCTCTGGCCCATAGAACCGGAATCTGTCAGAGTTGGTCTGGACTCCAACTCCCAGGTGGCCTGCGATGAGGGGCATGGCCTGGACATGTCCGTCAAAGGCAGCCAAGGCAGCAGGCAGCACTGAGTGGCCATGCTCCTGGAGGAGGCGGAGCCAGGGGTGGATGTGGTTGTGGGGGTCAGGGGGAGGAGCCTCAGCTGGGTGTATAGGTGGGATTGTTCATCGAGTAGTCTGTGCATCTTCTATGGAACCGAACAACATCACAATTCAATATCAGTTCTCAGATATTTGTTTTTATGCCCATTCATGCTGTCGTCCATGGCTTTGAAATGCTTATTCCTTTGGATATTGATTTCGATCTCTAGTTTCTGTCACATGCAGTACACAATAACACATTTTTACTAACTGCTGTAATAGAAGGAAAGTGTAAAGGGGGTTATAGTTCTGAAGCAAAGTAGAAAAACTAGCTAATGTTTTAATTTCTCACTAATATAATCCACAGTAAGGGGTGTGTCTGTGTAGTTTACCATTTTGAAGCTGTCGTCATAGCGATGAACCAGGTCAGTGAGCTGCAGTTCCAACTCTCCTGCTTCCTGTTTCACAGCTCTCCTCAGCTCCAAGATGTCTCGCACTTCCTCTCTGAGACAGGACACAGGCGTAGGGACAGAGGACACAAAAAGGTGCCACCATAATATGTCAAATCTAAATCATTAGCCAACAAAACAGGGTTGAGGTCAATATAATTTAAATTCAGTCATGACATGGAACTGACCCCAACCCTGCAGCATAAACATAACACTAAAACCATCAGTCTCAAACTGTCCTCATTATACCCAAGCCTGCTCAATGCTCACTCTAAATTAGATGGTATGAGTGAGGTGAAGTAGCTCAAAGTGTCCGCTAGAGGGGGTATTATATACCTGTCAGTGTCAGAGAGTGAGCTGTACACCGAGGCCTGGTTTTCTGACAGCTGTTCCTCGATGTCTGTCAGGACGCAGCGGAACTTCCTCATACAGCGCATCATCCCCTCCAGCTCATCCAGGGAGTACTGCACATGAGAGAGGATAGAGACAACACAAAGTCAGGAATACTGTACAGTGAATCAGCGCATATGTTTTTGCCTATCAACCAAATTGCAGTGGCAGTGGTTAACTCGAAGAGGTTGATTATTAAACCAATTAGAACAGCCAATGGACTCAATACAAATATGAAGGCCATAGATGTTTAACTCAGATGAACTCCATACAGTGTAGATGTTGTTCTCAGAAGTATGAAATTCAGCTGTTCACAAAGATGGATTTCAGTAGCCTACTCAACATGTCATTTCCATCAGAGCACAATGGTGGTCAGCTTCATAGAACAGGCATTACGTGTGAGACAAAAAAGGGTCTACTAAAGACTCAAGTAGCAACCCCAATCCTTTTGACCCTTCTGGGTGAATAGGACCTTTCATGTAATTTTATTTTATTAGAAGTGAGCTGTGCTTGAGGCCACTAAAGAGCCAGAGAGAGAGTGGTGAACTTCCTCCTCTACTGCTGCTCATCATGCAAAACAGGCATTCACATGCAAATGACCCCTACTGCGTATGAAACCAAACCGCCATCTTTAGACAGGCCAATAAAGATTCTAACATGCAAAGAGGCTTTGGTCATCATGTCAACAGGAAAAACCCATATAATGTGCCTCAGTGCCTTCCTTATTCTATAAATATTCTATAAATATATAGATAATGAATTGAATAACTCTTTTAATGATCGGATGTAGCCATAGAAAGGGCACTTTTATTGCAGACATTTTGTAAAACTTGTGTTTATGAGTGAGGCTGCATTATCATTTAGTCTTGTATTTGTCCGGATATTATCCTGTGTGAATCAAGTTAAGGTTTGCCAAGAGAGAGTAACTGAATTGTGTGTGTTACTTACAGGGAAAGCTGAAGCGGAGGACGGTTTGAGGCGATTGTTTTGAGAACAGCAGCTACAGCGATTATCACAGGAGCAGCAGCAGGAAAGCCCAGAGAACAGGGCTCTTTCCCACCGTCTATCCTCCTCCTCATCCCCCACTTCTTCCCCCTCTTCCTCCTGCCACACCCCTGTGTCCAAGGAGGTGGACTTCATCTGGGAACTTCCGGATCTTCGTGAACCGTCGCGAGACAGCCACCGATTGGACGATGACAGGGAGGGGGAGGGACAGGAGGACGGGAGGGATATCGTCTCAGGCGTCATGACTGCCTTTGCCATGGCAACCGCAGTGTTTCCATGTTCTGCAAAGTGGGAGGCTTCAGCATCTGACCACGCCTTCCTGGAGAAGGAGCTCCGCCTCTGCCGGAGCGTCAGGTCAGTCAGGGGGCGGGACTCGAAGGAAAGGCCGAGCGGGGAGGGGGTGTTGGGGACGCCACCGCTCCGGATGGCAGAGTGGGAGACAGAGGGCAGAGAGGAGGGCATCTGGACAGACACAGACCGGCCTGACCTGAAAGCACCTCTGTGGGGGATGACTGGGGTTGGGGCCTGGGCTGGGGCTGGGGTTTGAGATGGAGCTACGGTTAAGGAGTGGGCTGATGGTGAGTTTGGAATTGAGGATGAAGTTGGTGTTGGTGTTGTGGTTAGGGTTGATAGAGAATGGTTTGGGATTGGGGAAGGGGCTTGGGTTGGAGATGAGCTGGATGCTGCCGGAAAAGCTGAGGCTGAGGCTGGAGATGGGTGTGGGCATGAGGCTGGGGATGGAGATGGTGGTGGGGATGAGGCTGGGGATGGAGATGGGGGTGGGGATGAGGCTGGGGATGGAGATGGGGGTGACACTTGCTCTGAAGGTGAGGTTAAAGCTGGGCCTGTAGGTGAGTCTGTCGATGGGTCTGTAGATGGGTTTGTTGGTTGATCTGGTGGTGGGACAGGCTCATGGACAACCAAGCTTGAGGATCCCTCTGAAATCTCTGAGCCACCTGTTTCCCAGTGCACTGGGGAGGGAGAGGAGACAGAGAGAGGCTCTGCTGGGGAGAGAGAAGAGGCAGGGATTAGCTCTGCTGAGAGGTTAGGGTCAGATCCTAATAGAGGATCTTCAGAGGACCGGTCCTGACAAACAGAACCAGTCTCAGAGCCTTGATCCACCACCTCAGGAACAGCAACAGGACCCAACACTGGACCTTCTGAACCAGAACTATTCTGTACTTCTGTCTTCATCTCTGTCTCTTTCTTCATCTGCACCAGAACCACCGAGTCCATCAGAGGGCCTTCATGTGACCCAGAACAATCGGTGTCCTGATCACCAACAGCCTCTGTTTCTGTCTGAACATTGCCACTTTGTTCCGCTATGTTATTTTCCTCTCCTACTATTGGAACAGCTTCCTTTGATTCCACAGTAAAGTGTTCTGTCTCTGTGTCTGTTTTCATAATAATAATAACATGCCGTAACGGAGAGTCTGGCTTATGACAAGGTGCACCACAGTCCGAAGAGAATCCATCTTCCCCAGTGACAGTCTTTTCCATTAGGCTTGGCCTGAGTCCAAAAGCAGAATTAGTCATCTCCAAGGCATCAGGAGAAGCAGAGAGGAGGGAGTGGGCTGTGGGGGAATCCTGGTGTCTGGGTGTCTCCTCTGTAGGGCTTGTTGTCTCTGGTCTGTCTAGAGGAGACTCTGGTCTTGGGTGGCACGTGGAGAGGGAAGGAGAGGAGGGGTCCAGGGAAGTGGATGGGGGGGACGAGGGGGGTGAAGGGGTGATGGGAGAGGGGCGGTCAAGTGAAGCTCCTCTTACAGTGATCTGGCTGTCAGTGCTGCCTCCAGATATTCCTGACAAAGCCTTAAACAACAACCAAACACATTGTCAGTTTAAATGAATGAATGACCTAAATTGTGCACCATGAAATAGACAGATTATCAGTTCAATAATATATTTTAATATTTTGGGCTGGTGAAGTAGTATAAGTTAGTAGTAATAACTTAAAGTAAGTTTAAGTAAGTCAGTAGAACTAACTTAAAGTAACACGCCTAGATTGTAGCACTTCTAGAATGTTATCCGTGTAACCTTCATGAGCTCGGGTCCAGGTGAGGGATGCTGGGAAAAGGAAGGGATGAAGGGCTCTTCCAGGAATCCACTGCTGTCAGACTGGCAGCTGTTAGTCCTCATCACACACACTGCTACGGAGGGAAGGGGGAAGAGAGTAGAGAGAGAAGAGAGTAGAGAGAGAGAGAGAGAGAGACAGAGAGAGACAGAGAGAGACAGAGAGTAGAGAGAGAGAGACAAAGAAAGAGAGCGAAAGAAAGAGAGAGAGTTCATGAAAAATTACACAACTTTAGTAATATCCTTTAGTTAGACTCATCATCCGGAGTATAAAGGAGAACTATGACTCGGGATAATAAACAGAACTTCACCTTTGCTTGGTGAATCAACTAAAACTTATGACACAATTTGCTTATTCAGTTAGCAGTGGAGGCTCCTCAAAAGGAAGAAGGGGAGGACCATCCTACTCAGTGAATTTCAGTAAAATACAAATAGTGAAACATTTAAAAAAGTTATGCTTTTTAGATAAAACTATACTAAATATATTCACGTCACCAAATAACTGATTAAAACACACTGTTTTGCAATAAACAGGTCTACAGTAGCCTCAACAGCACCCTCTAGGTTAGCATCATGGTATAGCCAGAGGACAGCTATTTTCCATCCTCCTCTGAGTACATTGACTTCAGCACAAAACCTAGGAGGCTCATGGTTCTCACCCCTTCCATAGACTTACACTGTAATTATAATGACTTCCGGAGGACGTCCTCCAACCTATGAGAGCTTTTGCAGTATGAACTAACATCTTGTCCATCCAATCAAAGGATCAGAGAATGAGTCTACACTCTAAAAATTAGGGGTTCAACAAGGGTTCTTCTAAGATCCTCAAAGTTCTTTGAAGAACCTTAGGGTTCATGGCACTGAAAATGGCCCCCAAAAGGTTCTTCCAAGAACCCCATAGGAGGTGGGGTTAATCAAGGAACCTTCTTAGTTGGTGGAAGTTCTTGCAGGAACCTAACTGCCCAACTGAAACATTGGGATTTGAATTTGAAAGGACAGCAGGTGCAGGCACTTACAATTGAAGTTGGAAGTTTACATACACCTCAGCCAAATACATTTAAACTCAGTTTTTCACAATTCCTGACATTTAATCCTAGTAAAAATTAACTGTCTTAGGTCAGTTAGGATCACCACTTTATTTTAAGAATGTGAAATGTCAGAATAATAGTAGAGAGAATGATTTATTTCAGCTTTTTATTTCTTTCATCACATTCCCAGTGGGTCAGAAGTTTACATACACTCAATTAGTATTTGGTAGCATTGCCTTTAAATTGTTTAACTTCGGTCAAACGTTTCAGGTAGCCTTCCACAAGCTTCCCACAATAAGTTGGGTGAATTTTGGCCCATTCCTCCTGACAGAGCTGGTGTTACTGAGTCAGGTTTGTAGGCCTCCTTGCTCGCAAATGCTTTTTCAGTTCTGCCCACCAATTTTCTATAGGATAAATTCTATAGGTACACCTCCAATTGACTAAAATGATGTCAATTAGCCTATCAGAAGCTTCTAAAGCCATGACATAATTTTCTGGAATTTTCCAAGCTGTTTAAAGGCACAGCCAACTTAGTGTATGTAAATGTCTGACCCACTGGAATTGTGATACAGTGAATTATAAATGAAATAATCTGTCTGTAAACAATTGTTGGAAAAATTACTTGTGTCATGCACAAAGTAGATGTCCTAACCTACTTGCCAAAACTATAGTTTGTTAACAAGACATTTGTGGAGTGGTTGAAAAACGAGTTTTAATGACCCCAACCTAAGTGTATGTAAACTTCCGACTTCAACTTTAACTGAAAAATGTAAAGATCTCCTCAATTTTAGGTAAGGTTTGTCCCTTGCATGATTTAAATGTATATTGTTTCATGATGATACCATCTATCTTTTCATATTTGTGCAAATCTTTCTAAAACAGAAAATGGACACAATTCAATGGATTTCAATCAACAAAGAGGTAAGAATATGTTGAAGGCTAGCTGTATTGGGTGCAGATGACTGAACTGCTCACTTTTGTGTCTGTAGGTATACAGACAAGGAGGCATACAAAGGTATGTTAATTGGTATTGGTATGTTATGCAGATCACATGTACCATCCTCCCCCCTTACCTCTTCAATGAAAATCCCATCGGCCTCTACATTATGGACAAGGTATGTGTATGAAAACCATTATCAAAACAGTTTTTTTCATTCACATTTACCACAAAAACCAAGGTATGAATACTGTTGTGTGCATGTTTTGCAAAACGTCTGTATAATTAAAAAAATTTGGATTCACAGACTTCACCCTCCATACACCTCTGCTGAATATAACAGGAAACCTGTTCGATCACCATGCACTGCAAAATCATTCTGGCTATGGATATGGAGAACATCAACACATTAACATCAACACACCAGAGGATTTACCCACTGGACTTGGGGCTCTGATGGGAGTTTACCTCATATTTTGAATTTTTTATTCTGCTTTGCCACTAAAATCATAATAAAAACGGACAACTAAAATATTGTGTTATTGTTGTTATTGTTATGCGTATTATTATTAATAAAAATAGGGGAGGGTAGTTCAAAAATTAACCCCAAAAGGTTCTTTGAGGATCCATTAAAATGTGTTCTTTGAAGAACTTATAGGGGTTCCCCCACAGTTACAATTTAAAGAACCCCTAAAAGATCCTCCAGGGACCTTTACTTTTTAGAATGTAGTACTAACTAAACTGCTTGCTCTACACTGTACTGTGTAATTGTACACACGGATTGTATTGTGGGTTAACTAACACGTTAGTTCTAGTCTGTTGACTAAAACGTTAGTATGGTGACAATGATGTAGGATGTGTAGCAGTTGTGGTATGAAGGTTTGGCTTGGAGAGGTTTTTGCGCCTGGTCACAGACAGCTGTTGTGTTGTGCACTGAAGTCCACAAGCAAAGGGAAAATGTGAGAGGAGGAGAGATGGTAGATGCAAAATGGAATTATACAATGAGCAAAGTGAGGATGATGCTGTAAGTGGCTGCTATGAAAGTGAACTGTGTGTGCGGTTGATCAGGGTGTATTCGTTCCGCCGATTCTGTTGCAAAATGTTTCTTAAACATAATCAAATGGAACGAAACGAGGAGGGATCTACCTGAATTTGACCAATAGAAACTCTTGTTTAAGTTTTGCAATGGTTTGGACTAATGACTACACCCCAGTTTAGCTATTTGCAGGCATGAGTGTGCAAGGCGGTATTGAATGTGTCACTGTCTGTCACCTTGATTACACCAATTTGTCTTTCGACCTGTGCACATTATAAACTTCCATTTGTAGGCTAGATTGTAGCAACCTCATGATGGGTATAGGGAAAATTTGATTATCATGTAGTAGCCTTAACCTGTCGATGTTACATTGAGCTGGGAAAATGGAATATGAATGACATTCATCCAGTATGATGTAATAGAAATAAGGCCATGCTCATAAAAAGAAAATCGCCCTAATGTTGAACGGCACCGACCGCAGCTGTTGGTTAGTATCGTGTTTTAAAATCCCTTATGAAAATTATACCACTCTAATTTCTACAGTGTATTTGCATTTCTTCACCATAGGAGATTGTTCCATGCCGATGAAAGAGAAAACTGCCATCAGAGTCAGGGCCAACAGAGTACTGTTTACTGTAACATTTAAAAATAAACCTAGATGTTGGATAAAGAGAAAGCTTTTATCTGTTACTAAAATACAATAAATTGGTTATAGACTTAGTGGGATGAGAGAGAGAGTGAGAGCGAGTAAGAGAGAGAAAGAGAGAATAAGAGCGAGAGAATAAGAGCGAGAGAGAGTGAGAGACCCACACCTGGAGGAGCCACAGCCCGGCAGGCAGAGCCATGCACAGGCTGTGAGAGGAGCAACTTGTCCAGCCCCCACCAACGAAATGAGTGACATTAAACAAATGCTGAGTCTACTATGCTCACATGTGATAGGCCGAGGGTCATGGTAAGATGAGCACAAGAACTCCACCATTCCAAGTGGAATCTGGCTCAAAATGTTCCAATCAGTTATAGAACCAATTGCTCTATATGGCAGCGAAGTATGGGGTCCGCTCTCTAATAATGAATTTACCAAATGGGACAAACATCCAATCGAAATACTGCATACAGAGTTTTGCAAGACTGTATTGCAAGTGCAAAGAAAAACTCAAAATAACGCATGTAGAGCAGAATTGGGCCAATAACCCCTCCTTATTCAAATAGAAAAAAGAGCCATCAAATTTTACAACCATCTAAAACCCCCAAAACATTCCATCACACAGCTCTACTATGTCACGAGATGAAACAAGAGAAGAGTCCCCTCAGCCAGCTGGTTCTGAGGCTCAGTTCACTAACCCAAACCAACCTCATAGAGCCTCAGGACAGCACTCAGAAAATCTGGCCCAACCAAGTCATCACAAAGCAAAAAGGAAAATATATCCCCTATCGGAAAGACACCACAAAAAATCAAAGTAAACTTCAATTATATTTGGCTCTAAACAGACAGTACATGGTGGCAGACTATCTGACCACTGTGACTGATAGAAAACGGAGGAAAACAATGACTAGGTACAGACTCATTGAGCACAGTCTGGCTATAGAGACCGGCCGTCACAGGCATACCTGGCTGCCCAGAGAGGACAGGCTGTGCTCACTCTGCCCCCAGGGAGAGGTAGAGACAGAGCTGCATTTCCTATTACACCGTGACAAATACTCAAACCTAAGAGAATCTTTCTTTCCCAAAATTATCATTCAGTACAAAGAATTTGAAACTATAAAAGAGGAAGAAAAAATCTAATATTTATTGGGAGAAAAGCCAAAATGTGCAGTTATGGCAGCCAAATGTGTGTCCTCCTGCCACAACCTGAGGGACAGCCAGTGAAAAGTGTAATGTAATGTCAATAATATTTCCTGTTTTGTTTTAATGTATTGTTATTCTCATGAATATTGTTGTTGTAGTTGCTGTTAATGGTTATTCCATTTCCACTACTACTATTATTGCTGTTGGTCCCACCATTTTTGTTATATGTATACTTTGACATTGTAAGTAATTTAACTTGCCATGTCAATAAAGTCTATTGAATTTAATTGAGAGAGAGAGAGAGAGAGAGAGAGTGTAAGACAGAGAGAGAGAGTAAG